TAAAATAAAAAAAAAGAAAATTTAAAATATTACAAAAAATATATTATATTATTTAATTAAGTTATCTTGTAATTATATTTTATTTTGTAATCGGACAGTTCGGGTGGTTTGAAGGTAAAATCACAAACCAAACCAATTATATCAGTTTTAAAATTTTATAATTTAAATCAACCCAATTTTATATCGATTTGGATCGGTTTTTAATTGGATTGAATCAGTTTAGATTGAATCAATCGGATTAGATCGAATATAAACACCCCTAGGATCATTATTGTTTTTATTTAGATATTAAAATATTAAAACTTTAATTTGAAGATATTTATTAAATCTTAATTAAGAAAATGTACAATGTTACTTTCTCAATTTCAGAAATCATTTGAAGACATGATGATGCGGATCCATACCACCACAAAGTTAGGCAAAATTTCCAAAGATATTCGTAAAAAACAAAAGGGATTTCGTGAATGGGATCTTGCATCTAACCGGCGTGACCATCAAACCATTCTCCAGGTACTTGCTTCATTTTTTTTTTTTTTATTTACGTCTTAATTTTGTTTTTTCAACACATGAGCATCTCGTTAACAACCAACCAATTTGATAGTAAAGAATATTGTAGTGCAACTTCTTAAATTATACTATATTTTTAAATAAAATAAAAATTTATTTACATATAAATTTTATATATTATAATTATATAAAATATAAATTATTCATCATTTTACTTTCAATTATTGAGATTTATTCACATTTATAAAAAGTGATTAATTTTTTCATTTAAACATAATGATAAATTTCAATCATTGAAAGTAAAAAGGTAAATAATTAAAATTTTATGTAAGTGTAATATATAAAATTTGTGTGAAAGTAAATTATCATCTTTTAAATATTGATAGATACGTGGAACTCCAATATTAAAAGAGTCCACCCCTCCATTAAGAATAAAGTGAAGCGGATTGCACTTCACCTTCTATCAATGGTATATATATGTTGACTAAATTAGTTTGTAGATCTTAATTGATGAGAGAGACCCTGGAGCTGTGGATGTTGAAGGGGAACGTTTGCCTACTTTGGTATATCGAGCACGCGAGAAAAGACATCAGTATCACCACAATTTCAAAGCTGGAACCATGAATGCGCTAGTAAGCCAACCAAGTACTTGAAGAATTTTCCATCTCAATTAATTGAAATATGTATGTATATTATGCTTATTAATTATGCATCTTGACGATGAGTATAGATTAGGGTGTCATCAAAGATAAGCAACAGTTCAATTATTAATGTGGACTGCGACATGTATCCCAACAACTCGGAGTGCGTAAGAGATGCCATGTGCTTTTTCATGGACGAAGAAAGGGGCCATGAAATTGCTTATGTACAGTATCCACTGCATTTTCATAACCTCAAGAAGAATGATATTTACGCCAGTTCCTTCCTAGTAGAACAGGAGGTATATATGTAGGCATATCATCCTTTTTTATCTTAAGATAATACTACTTGTTTATTTTAGTTATCGCTTTGACTTTTGCACATAATTTTAGATAATGTAGAGGTAATTATCAATAAACACCAAATTATATTTGCGTGACAATTCTCTGTGGTGGTTATATATATGAAGCTGGAGATGTTAGGAATTGATGGAAATGGAGGACCTTGCTACCTTGGCACTGGCTGCTTTCATTGGAGAGACGCCCTTTGTGGGAAAAAGTACTGTAAAGAACTAAAAATTAACTGGGAGGAAGTGAATGATAAGACTAAGATTGAAGAAAGTGCAGTTGTCCTAGAAGAAACTTGCAAAGTCCTTGCAAATTGCACCTACGAACAAAACAAGCAATGGGGAGATGGGTTTGAAATATGGGTTCCCTGTGGAGGATGGAATTACAGGACTATGTATTCAGTGCAAAGGTTGGAGATCCGTCTACACCAATCCAGAAAGGAAAGGCTTCACAGGTCTTGGTCCAACAACGTTATTGCAGTCACTTATACAACAGAAGAGATGGTCTGAAGGTCATTTACAAGCCTTCCTTTCCAAGTACTGTCCCCTACTGTATGGACACAAAAAGATTCCCCTAAAACTCCAACTTTCATATTGTCCTTACAATATGTGGGCCGTAAACAGCTTGCCTACCCTGTACATTGTAGCTGTCCCATCACTTTGCTTGCTCAGAGGTATCTCCTTGTTTCCTAAGGTACGAATTACCCTGAGGAGAGTTTGGATTTCCTAAGAGTAGGTTTCTCCCTGGAAACAGCCACTTCACTGAAAAAACTAACAGCAGCTTTGACAGATTGAAAGGGTGCTCTAGTATCAATCTCTCCTACCTCAGCCCTTGGAGAAGTGCCAGGCATGCGATCACTGTTTGCACGCCTGATGTTCACCATCTTTATCGAAATTCACCTTTAACGTTGAAGTTAATTATTTCAATTAGAATCCATGTAAATGGTACTAACATAAATGACATCAAATCCCAGGCCAATCAGGACACACAAATAAATAAAATTCATAATAAAAAATGATAAACCTGTAGTAGTGAATACGTTTGTAAAAAATGATCCAGAAGCTGAAGGGAGAGGAGACGACGAATTCAGAGATGAAGCAGCAGAACACAAAAAAGGGGGCTGGCTTTTGTAATGCTTCTTGTTATGTATTAAATTTTGGATAAGAATAAGAATAACCCCAAATGAAATGTTAGTTTTGTGTGCTAATTTGAAGGGGGAGACACCAACCTTTGCGGGAATTTTAATGGTCAAATATGCACAAAGCACCCTCACAGGAAAATACCACTCAAATTGGCCGGTCCATTGGACTTCATTTTTTCTCCTTTTCTTTTTCTCCTCTTGGTGTCCATCCAAAATTTAGCTAACAATCTAAATTTGGCTGTTAGATAGTTCTGGTCGTTGAGTATAGGTACTTCTCTATTTGTAACCACGAGTCACATTATGTACATCTCTATCGTGAAAATGAAAGGGAAATTGAAATACGATACTGACATTTTTATCATCATTTAATATCAGCAGGATCGATCGGTAGCTCAATGGTGGGACCTTGGAGGCTCATCATCACATTATTAGGAATTGAATTACAAGGATGAAACTCACTTGTCAATCATCTTCGCGCTGGAAAATTTCTGAAACAGTTTGTGAGACGACTTTTTTTTTGGTTCAAATTATTAGCTTTCTCATATTTGGTGTTAGTGAGGTTTATATAAACATGTATATCTTAAATTACATAATAAAAAATAATTATTTCTCACTTTTTAACTCATTCTATTTTTATGTTATATAATTCAAATTTAACACATTTTATTTATAAGAGTTATTTTCAAAGAAATAAATATTGAATATTAATGTGTTAAAATTACTTTATTAAATGCACTAGTCACTCAAAATAATATAAAGATATGAATAGTATTGACCTCAAAAGAATTATGATTAATTAAGTATTAAAAATAATTAATCTTAATTATTTAAATAATAAAAAAATTTAATTAAAAATAATAAAAATAAAATAATAAATAAAATAAATGTAACTAAGATATGAGATACTAAATTATGGGTGATGGGTCATCTAGAGGAGGAGCAAAGGAGGTAAAGAAAAGTCAAAAGAAAACTTGAGTGTCATCTCAATTGAACCGGCAACTCTCCGGCGTCCAAGTTCTCTCTCCACTCTTCTTTGTTAAAAACAAAGAAAGGGAAAGCCCAACACTTTTGTTCAAATTATTAGCAATTTGAATGTAATTTGAATATTTCTCAGTTCTTATCTCCTTCTAAATGGAAGCGGCAAAAAACAATATCATATTGATATTATGGTATTTTGGAGTGGGTAAATGTGTAAATAAAAATATAAATTTTGTTATTTTTTATTTAAAAACGTAAATTTTGTTAGGTTTTAAATAAGATTATGAATTTTTATAATTTCTTGTTTAAAAATATCCATGTTGTATTTTTTATTTAACAAGTAATTAAATAGTGATATTGATATAATAAATAACTTTTTAAGTGATTGAATTAAGCTTTAAATAAAAAATAAAATTAATATTTTTAAATAAAAAATATAAAGTTGATATCCTTAATAGAAATAGTTAACAATTTATTGTTTTATTTAAAGTTAATAAAATTTACATCCTTAAACAAAAAAAGCAAATTTATATCTTTATTTACACATTTTATTTGTTTTCACTACTCCCTCTCTGTTCAACCTTAATAAATCCAGTTTTATATTTTGGAATTTAAATTTTATTGCCTATTTTTTAGGATAATATTTAATATGGGTAGTGTCATTACTACATTTTAAATAGTTAATGTTACATCTTTTTAATGTCATTATCTATTACATTCTTACATTACACTTTTTCTCAAAATTTTATATTTTTTAATTTTTAATAAATTAAAAAATATAATAATCAATTAAAATAGAAATATATAACATTAGCAATTAAAGATGTGGTAATAATATCATCAATTTAATACATTTATTCTTATTTTACCATTACTCTAAAAGATAATTACAATGAATATTAATTAAAAAGTATTATTTAAATGTTACTTAATTAAAAATAAATATAAAATTTTTTAATAAATTATTACATATCTATTTTATTAAATAAAAGAAACTAAATTTAGGAAAAATGACAAGCAAGTCCATTTTAGTTTGACTTGTAATATATGGTAAGTAATACATTATCGGCATGCACCCTCGCTGGTAGCCTGGTATATATCAGCATATAATAGTAGTAATCAGAGCTGATCAGAGAAAGTGGGGGAAAAAATAGACAAGAGGAAAAGGTATGGAAAAGCATGATTATCTTCCCCTTTTTGAAACAACACCGATGAAGGGGCGTCTCCTCTTCCGGCTGTATACAGCCTCGGTCCTCCTAGGGATCTGCTTCATCTGTGCTTTTAGAGTGAGTCACTTTCCAACCGAAGGTAAGGTTGAAAGATGGGGTTGGATTGGATTGTTTGTGGCAGAGCTATGGTTCTCTTTTTACGGCTTTCTCACTATTGTTGTAAGATGGAATCCTGTCAGCCGTCGGACGTTCAAAGACAGGCTCTCCCACAGGTACGCAGATATAATATCTATATCTCGTTTTTAACCGTTGACCGACGGGGGACCATATAACCAAATTGATGTATAGTTCTAATCTCTTTTCTAAACCTCTCGTTCTTATTTCAAGATTCAATTAATTAAATTTAAGTTTATCTCAAACTTTTAATCATTAAAATATCACTTAATTAAAAGATAATTAAGTTGAGAAGTTTAAGGGTTTGGGGTACTCTTTGTACTTCTTTTTTCAATAAATACTATTTTTGCTGTTAAAAAAAAAGATAATTGAAAATTTTCTTTTTATTAATGATGGATTGAATTAAAGTTTTAAAGTTAGTAAACACCTATAAACTAGACAACTCTCTTGTTGGTATTTGTGTGAATAGGTATGAGAAGAATTTGCCAGGCGTGGACATATTCATATGCACGGCTGATCCAACAGTAGAACCACCAAGTTTGGTGATCAACACAGCTTTATCACTGATGGCTTATGACTATCCAGCGGAGAAACTGAATATATATTTGTCAGATGATGGTGGATCGGAGTTAACGTTTTATGCCATGCTAGAGGCTTCAAGGTTCTGCAAGATATGGTTACCCTTTTGCAGGAAGTTCAAGGTAGAACCAAGATCACCGGCAGCTTATTTTGGGTCTGCCGTTGAGCCACTGGATGATCCTCTCAACTACAAGGAGTGGTTGTCCGTTAAAGTAAGTTATGCTTTCTTTGCTAGATTATTCAACCCGAAGAAGTCGAAATGAATTTCGGTCGGATCCACATTAATTGATTGTTAACAATTAATTTCATACTCAATCCTCCCAAAGTCTCAAATCAGTTATCTTTTTATATATTAAAATAAACAAATATTATTTTTTTAACCTATAATCTGTTTCTCTGTATTTATTTCTTTAAGATTAATATATAAATAAATATATAAATTATTTATAAAATTTTAATTTATGAAAATACCAAATGGAAACAGTCATCTTACAAGTTACAACACAAAAAAATAGTATTTTTGTTTGACTAGCAGTGTAACCAGTGTTGGGCTTTCTCTCAGGCGGTGATTAGGCTCAATTTCCTTATCACCTTTTATTCTGTTTTCCAACCACTCAAAATTCATCACTCGAAGGATGGTTCGGTTTTATTTGAGAGTGTTGTGGACTAATCAAGCGTTTTTTTTTTTTCTTTTTTTTGTCTTTCAATATAATAAAATAAAAAATAATTAGCACAATATATATTTCAATATTTGTTTAATTCAGTTATTAAAAATATAATATAAATATAATAAATTTAGTTTATATTTATATTTTGTGTATATAATTATATTTTTAATTAAATTTATTTATTTTTAATTTTACACTAAAAATAATTTTTTAATAAATATATTATATAATGTATTAAATTAAAATGTATATCAATCAATAATTAACAAAAATATATAAAATATATTTTATATTTATTTTAATTAGTATTTTATATATTCTTTAGATGGTAAAAAGACAAATAAACCAAAAGCATCAATGAGTATTTCCAAGTGGAGCCCTTGTGTCAGCCCAAAAGTAAAGAAAGATACCCGCGGAAACATTATTATTTGAGCTTTCTTTGATAGATTATTCGTCCCGAAGAAGGCAAGATGAATTTGTCGGCAACATTATTATCATTATTATTATTATTATTTAACACGAAGAGATATTTAGGATGGAATCATAAACCCCTGATTTAGAGCATAGATTAGGCTAGCACGATCCACATTAATTGATTGTTAAGAATTAATTTCATACTCCCTGCGTCGTCCCAAAGCGCAAATTAGTTATCTTTTTTAATATTAAAATAAACATTTTTTTTTTTTGTTCTTTAACCTATAATCTCTTCCTCTGTATTTATTTCTTTAGGACTAATATATAAATAAATATATAAATTATTTTTAAAATTTTAATTTATGAAAAAACCAAATGAAAACAGTTATTTTAGAACACAAAAAGTAATTACTTTGTTTGACTAGCAGTGTTGGGCTTTCTCTCCGGCGTTGATTAGGCACAAATTCCTTATGACCTTTTATTCTGTTTTCCAACTACTCAAAATTCATCCCTACGAAGGATACTTCGGTTTTATTTGAGAGTGTTGTCAACTAAGTAAGTTTTTTTTTTTTTTTTTGTCTTTTAATATAATAAAAATAAAAAGTGATTAGTACACATTTGATTTAATATTTTTTTAATATTTATTTGGTTTAATTATTAAATATATAATATAAGTATAATTAATTTAGTCAATTTATATATTTTGTATACATAATTATATCTTTAAATTTATTTATTTTTAATTTTAGACTAAAAATAATAATTTTTTAATAAATATATTATGTAATATATTAAATTAAAATATGTACTAATTTATGTATAACAAAAATATATAAACTATATTTTATATTTATTTTAATTAGTATTTTATATATTTTTTAGATAGTAAAAAAATTAACCAAAAGCATCAATGAGTATTTCCAGGTGGAGCCATTGTGTTAGCCAAAAAAAAAGAAGAAAGATACTTATTCGTTTTTGTCTTTTTACAAGATAGCTCCAGAAGGAAATGAAGGGCAAATTATGCTATGGAAATAGGTGTTTACCCATATGAATTGCACAAAAATTATGTAATTAGGGTATTAAAATTATAAAATATTAATAATAAATAACTATAAAAGGTAATTTTATTAAGAGTGTTTTTAGAAATTTTAGTTTTTGAATTGTATAAAAAAGTGTAATATATACTTAAAAATACATTTTTGTTTGCTATGGGTATATATATAGTATTTCATAATATATATATTGTGGTATTAAACATATATATATATTAATTCATTTTTTACTATTGAATAAGAAAATCAGTTATAAAATACCACTGTCATATTGTCATAAATCATTGTAAAACAAATATTGTAAATTATCATTTTTTATTTAGATATTAAAATATTAAAATTTTAATTTGAAGATATTTATTAAATCGTAATAAAGAAAATGTGCAATATTACTTCTATCAATTTCAGGAATCATTTGAAGACATGATGATGCGGATCCATACCACCACAAAGTTGGGCAAAATTTCAAAGGATATTCGTAAACAACACAAAGGATTTCGTGAATGGGATGTTGTATCAAGCCGGCGTGATCATCAAACCATTCTCCAAGTACTTGCTTATTTACGCCTTAATTTTGTTTTTTCAACACATAACCATCTCATTAATAACCAATCAATTTAATAGTAGAGAATGTTACACTCTGTCCCATCTGAATTATACTATTTTTAATTATTGATAACAAAATTTACTTTATTAATTATTAAGTAAAGCATAGTTTACACAGCGTACAAAGTGGATTGCAGTTCATTTTTCTATTAATAGTATATATATGTTGACTCAAATAATTTATAGATCCTCCTTGACGGGAGAGACCCTGGAGCTGTGGATATTGAAGGGGAACATTTGCCTACTTTGGTGTATCTAGCACGCGAGAAAAAACCTCAGTATCACCACAATTTCAAAGCTGGAGCCGTGAATGCACTGGTAAGCCAACCAAGTACTTGAAGAATTTTCCATCAATTAATTGCAGTATTTATGTATATTATGCTTCTTAATTACGCATATATTTGATGATGAGTATAGATCAGGGTGTCATCAAAGATAAGCAACAGTCCAATTATTATGAATGTGGACTGCGACATGTATTCCAACAACTCGGAGTGCGTAAGAGATACCATGTGCTTTTTCATGGACGAAGAAAAGGGCCATGAAATTGCTTATGTACAGTATCCACAGCACTTTCATAACCTCAAGAAGAATGATATTTACGCCAGTTCCTTCCTAGTAGAACAGGAGGTATATATGTAGGCAAATCATCTTTTTTGATCTTCAAGATAATACTACCTCTGGTTTATTTTCGTTGTCGCTTTGACTTTGCACATAATTTTAGATAATGTTGAGGTAATTATCAATTAACACCAAACTATATTTGCGTGCCCATTCTCTGTGGTGGTTATATATATGAAGCTGGAGTTGTTAGGAGTTGATGGAAATGGAGGACCTTGCTACCTTGGCACTGGCTGCTTTCATAGGAGAGATGCCCTTTGTGGGAAAAAGTACAGTAAAGAACTAAAAATTAACTGGAAGGAAGTGAATGACAAGACTAAGATTGAAGAAAGTGCAATTGCCCTAGAAGAAACTTGCAAAGTCCTTGCAAGTTGCACCTACGAACAAAACAAGAAATGGGGAAAAGAGATGGGTTTGAAATATGGGTTTCCTGTGGAGGATATAGTTACAGGACTATCCATTCAGTGCAATGGTTGGAGATCCGTCTACACCAATCCAGAAAGGAAAGGCTTCGCAGGTCTTGGTCCAACAACGTTATTGCAGTCACTTATTCAACAGAAGAGATGGTCTGAAGGTCATTTACAGATCTTCCTTTCCAAGTACTGTCCCCTACTGTATGGACACAAAAAGATTCCCCTAAAACTCCGACTTTCATATTGTCCTTACAATACGTGGGCTGCAAACAGCTTGCCTACCCTGTACATTGTTGCTGTCCCATCACTTTGCTTGCTCAGAGGTATCCCCTTGTTTCCTAAGGTATGAATTACCCGATCAAATATTTGATATAGCCAGTCGGGATTGGAAATACATTTTCTCATGCATTAATTTAGAATTGTAATGCTCAATATCTTTGATATATAATTAATCAGATATCAAGTCCATGGGTGATACCATTTGTCTACGTGGCATTTGCTCACCGTGCATACAGCCTTGGAGAATTTTTATGGCTTGGAGGCACATTGAAGGGCTGGTGTAACCTGCAAAGGATATGGGTGTTCAAAAGAACAACATCCTTCTTGTTTGGCTTCTTTGACACAATCCTGAAGCTGTTTGGGTTTTCTGAGCAAGTCTTTGCCTTGACAGCCAAGGTAGCTGATGAGGATGTTTCAGAGAGATACGAGCAAGAGGTGATGGAGTTTGGTGCTTCTTCACCCATGTTTAGCATCATAGCAACACTTGCATTGCTCAACCTCTTCTGCTTGGCGGGGAGTACACTTAAGAAGGTTATTGTAAAGGATACCAATATGGTAGAAGTTTTGGATCAATTTGGGTTGCAAATCCTTGGTTGTTGTCTTTTGGTAATGATCAACCTGCCTATATACCAAGCTCTCTTCTTTCGGAGGGACAATGGAAGACTACCTCCATCAACGACATACCAGTCAATGATTATTGCTCTATTAGCTTGTGCAATAGCCATATATTAAACCCCATTCAAGAGCCATGCAACTTTATCTCTACATTTCCAAGACATTGAATAATTCACTTCTTGTTAGATTTTAGGGATGTCTTGTAAATTGGTAAATAAACTATCTTTGTATGGCTATGTTACTACGAAAAAAATATAAATGATTTTCTTAGCACAGTAACCTCTGCAATTATTGTTGTTTATACTATTTTATTTGAAAAAATTATATTAATGTCGATACTAAATACATTTTTTTTTTGGATAAAATGTAAAGTTTTTATTTATCCAAACTGATTGTGTACAATGAAAGCAGCAAATATGCTACTACTTGAAAAAAAAAATCCAAAACAGAATATACAAAGTAACCATTATGCACAAACTTAACATCACACTGCTATTGTTTCAAGCCCCCAATTTCGTGCAATAGTTGTAGGCAATAGCAATGATTTCGGCTGAACAAAACCCAGAATTTTGCTTCTTACATCAATCTGGATATCATGAATAAGTGCACTCTCTGACTTGAAGACCTGCTGATGAAATCTTCTATTCCTCTCCATCCACACATGGTAGACAGAAGCATTCCATGTTAGCTTGATTAGGGTGTGATATAAAGACTTCCTTCGAATCCTCTTACCCAGCCAATGCATTAGGCTTTGCCAAGAATCAATAAAAGGTATACCAGTTATAAAACAAAGCTGCTGCCATATATTACTGGTAAAATTGCACTTAAAAAACAAGTGCTCATTTGTCTCCGAACTACCATTGCATAGGATGCAAGTGTCAGCAATTGTAGGCGTCCATTGTTTCTGTCTAACTTTTGTGGTTAGCCGGTTGAGAATGGCTAGCCAACTAATAAAGCTATGCTTAGGAATGGCTTGATAAAACCAGATTAGCTTGTGCCATGCTTTTCTGCCCTGTTTCCTTCTCAGCCAGTTCCAAGTCTGTCCAGCTTTGTAACTTCTTGATGTAGATGGCACCCATAACACCTGATCTTTCTCACTTTGCTTTGGCCAAATGCTAAATAGATGCATTTGAATTTGTACCAATTGAGGTGACCTAGCCGATGGCCATTTCCAAAAATTGCCACTAATTACACATGCTAGCTTTGCTTGAGAAGGTATCCCTGTATCTCTTACAATAGAATCACCATAAGTCTCTAATAATGGCCCACAGGGGTGCCAATGATCATGCCAAATATAAGTATCCATGCCATTAACCGGGACATGCTTAATAAGCTTCCTAGCTACCTGTCTCAATTTGAGGATTTTCCTCCACCCCCAAGATGCATTAGCTGGTATATTAACAGTCCAAAAGCTTATGCCCTTTAGTAAGTATTCATGGGTCCAAGCTACCCAAATAGATCTTGCTCTTGTAAATAGCATCCAGATGAATTTTAATATACAAACTTGGTTCCACAACATCAGATTTTTGAGCCCCAAGCCACCCTCATGTATAGGAGAACATACAGTTTCCCAATCTACTTTGGCCCCTTTAGCACTATGCGTGTCATTGTTCCACAAAA